GCTCAGCCCCGCAGAGATACGCTCCCGAGCAGTCCAAGAAAAGCGCAGGCTTTCTGTAGGTGGCCTTGAGAACGACCTTCAGTCTTACCGTATAAAACTTACCGTATAAATATCCTTGATAAAAGAACGAGGGGAAAGGAACTGGGTTAGCTTCACAGGGCTGCCTGGCTCTGGTCTCCAACGCTGGAGCCGTTCAAAGTCCAAAAAGCAGATTCTGGGCTGGTTCTGACGCCACAGATGATAATGAGCACTTGCTTTGAGGTTTCAAAGTCCATGGGAATAAATACAGTGTGTTTCAGAAGTCAGCATTTTTAAATGCATTCAAAGAATTTTAAAAAGAGATTCCAGTGGCAAAAAGGACAGTCCAGTAACATTTTGAGATGGCTGAGCTAACGCTGGATAAACTCATGAGCAGACAAACAGAACCCATCACCAGCCTCTCTCTCTCCTAGGAAGCTGTGGCACCCCCTCCCCTGGGCATTGTCCCCGCTCCAGTAGCAGCCGGCTGTCTTCCTCTTCCCCGAGGACAAACACAGCAGCGGAAAAGGAGCAGAGCTGCTTGAAAAGTGGGACAAGTGTGGTATGAAACATCCACCATAGGATACTCCCAGGCAGGGCTTCTTCAGCCGCACCCCCTGCCCCCCATTTTCCTTAAAAAGAAAGAAGCAAATAGAGTAGCCATCACTGCCGACTCCTGCGCTGATGGCCACGATAAAGATTTTTCACAGCAAGGTTTAGGGTTAGGCTGGATGTGGGGGGTGTTTTCTCAAACTCCTGAAAAAATCAAGGCAGTTGGGAGCCAAGCTAAAGCCTTTCAGCCCAATCGATCGTGCAGTTATCAGTGTAAACAGGACACTCCTCTTTTACAGTTCAGCACTTTCAGTTTTAAATGCATAATCTGGGAAAAAAATTATCAAGTTATTGAAATTAAAAACCAAGCAAACTAAAGCAACAAAAACAAACCAAAAAAACCTGAACTCCAAAAACCCAGATGTGTTTGGGAGAAATCTACTGGGGAAGATGTATACAGAAGTCAAGACAACCAAAAGCAAAGATTTAGTTTAATTTACACAACCTTGTGCAATGATATGAGTAGCTGCAAAATGGAGTGTTTCTCAAAATCACTTTCCTGCAAGTTCTCATGCAGGATGCTCACCCTGATCACACTGCACCTCTTCCATCACCAGTTCCAGGTACTATTAGTGACTAATATTTTATACATTGTTTATACCAGCAGCAATCATTTCAGTCTTCATCCCAAAATTCTGTTCACCAGAGAGTAATTAGGAGACCAATATTCAACCCATCTTTAAGAATAAAGCTTTTAAGCTGCAGCATAGGTTTTAAAAGGCTAAAACATGCAGTACTGCCTAATTTAACACCGAAAGTGTTGTTTCAGCCTTTCTTTCTTGTCCATGTGCCAAAGCACTCTGGTCCCTTGCTCAAGAAAGCAGCCTGCCTTTATTCTCATCCAAAAGGAGTACAGCCAAATGAATTAGAGCACCAAAATAACTTTTTGTAAAACCACAGAAGGCTGACTCTTGAACTGCTGACTCTGCAGAGCTTTGTTGGTGTGTTCATGGGTACTGAAAGATTGCTACACAGTCCGGTGTGATTTTTACTTAACATTTTTACCTGTTTCCCACTTTCTCCCAGAACACTTTGCAGAACACCAGCACTCTGTGTTATGATTGCTGTGGCACACAGAAGGCATCCAACACCTTATACAAGGCTTCAAAAATCACTGCTTGCAGACATTTTGCTCCAAAAATCCAAGCTCATACAAACCATGGTTTGGTTGCAAAAAACATGGAATACGTAAAAGCCATTTCTCAGGCAAAGTTTGCTCTAACCTACACAGCAACCCTTAAAACACATTAAGAGTTTCCAGGAGTGATCTGTATCCAGACAAAACCACCAGCAATTAGAGCAGTAAATGAGTGTGGAACAGGTGCATAAGGAGGTAATGAGAGTGGAGGCACACCTTCAACTCACTGAATTTGGAGCAGCATTTAATTTGAAATTCAAAGTTGTGATCACACTTGCATTTTCATACAACCATTTTTCCTGAAAGAAAAAGAGTACTTGTTCTTCAGCCCCCTCCCAAAGTCACAGCACCTCCAAGAGCAGGAACTGCACTCCACTATTATTAAAGAAACAAAGAGGTGAGAGGGGAAAAAGCATGTGTTTATTGGAAAGGCCCAAAATAAACCCAGCACTATCATAGCAGGCTTGGTTTCATCTTGTACAGGAGGAAATCCTTTATGCTTAAGAGTCAGGATAAATTTTTAAATTGTCAGAGCAAAGACTTTGTCCCAAGGCCCTTGAAACACAATTGCTTTCTCGAAAGGACTCAAGTGCTTCAGTTTACTATAAAATCAAAATCCATGCAACATGGATTGGTACGTATTGGCACCTCTCAGCAGTTTTTTTTGTTACTAGAAGAGCTTTTGACAGGAACCGGACTAAGGCACGGGCAGGTAAAATTTCACAGCTTCCACTGGCAGGATGTCCCCATACCACCTTTTTCACAGGGCAGAATGTGTTGTTACCATCCAGACACATGGGGAAGGAAGTAATGCTCTATTTACACTCTCACATGCACCCAGTATTTTGCCAGGGTACTATCAGAAGACCTAAATGAGGTAACATGGCCCAAGCACTTGGAGCAGGGATACCGAGTGTGAATGGAAGTGTTAGCAGCTAGAAACGATCCGAAATGAGCACCAGGTGACAGTCACACACACTGATTACCTTGGACAAACATCCATCTACAGTGGCAGCTTCAGCGATGGAGCAGGGACTGGGACAGCAACCAGCCCCAAGCTCCAGGATCTGTGAAGAGGGGGCCATAAGCAGAGGAACAAAGCACACAATGGAAAGAGGCAGAAGAAAGGTGTAGAAAGAGGGTAAAGGGGGGAAAAAAATCTGGCAAATTCATACACCTCTGTATGTATGTAATACATATTTTGTCTCTTGTTTTTGATTTAATGGATCCTCAGTTCAGGACAGGCCTGCCACAGTTTAGGGTGCTCACTTTGATATGATATGGCCAATGACTTATGCAAAACAAAATATGGAAAGCTCAAAACTGTTCCCCTTTGTCCATCAATATTCTCCTGGGTCTACACAAGTTCTGAGAAAGAAGAAAAAAAGAAAAAGAACAGCTCATGGAAAAGTGTAATTTCATTCCCAACTACCTTCTCATAACCTAAACCCCAATGTCAGCCCTCCTCACTAGGAGTGGGGTGTGACATTTCCACTTAAACATTGAACCACCACACTATGGGATTTCCAGCTCTGCCTCTATTTTGTATTTCATGGAATGCACCAGGCACTGTAGAAATGGAGGAATTACTAGTGATCTTCAAAACCTGCTCATTTCTCTGCAGCCACCAGGCTCACAGGCTGAAGTAAAGGAAGTTTAGTGCAGGTGAACTACTCAATCAGCCATCAATAAATCAAACCCCAATTATCTTTATCTTTGTTTCGTCTCTTGCATCTTCCAAAGATGGGTTCAGCTGGTTAGTGCTCCATGACAGCAATAAATTTTTTCTTCGCAATGTGTTTTTTTTCTTCACAATGTGGAATCTTCATACGGACCATCACAACATAATTACAGAGGAAAGCACAAAAACTGGAGTGACTCCAACATTGTCCATGGACTTTACTAACAACCACTTGGATTTGTGTACAGAAACTGAAGCAAGGACTGCTCCCTACCAGAGCAGATGAGTCATGCCAATTAAAGCAGCAAGGAAAGCAGAAAATAGGGCAAAGTCATTCCTCTTGAAGGAATAGTGTCAATGAAAGCACAATGTCCCATCTACACAAACACAGAGAAAGACAAGCAACAGGAATGGAACGTGAACTACTGTCAGTAAAGGATTTTTTTTAATAGCGATCAAAGCAAAAGCTCCCAATATACTAAAAAAAGCCACTTCAGATGCACTTATTTTTAGCATGCACTTCTTCCTGTAAGAGATCAAACTACAGCAGACTGAGCTCTCCAGAAGCCATTTGAAACCCAACCTACAGGACAAAGCTCAAATTCTGCTGAAGGAAAAGCAACCACTTGAACCCTTTCTGAAAGGGGATGAAGTAATGCTTGATGAAATGCAGCATCTTCTTTGCAAGGTAAAGAATTAAGTGGTCCTCCAGCTTTTTAGAAAAGCAAGAAAGCACCAAAAAGCATGCCTAGGACTAAACCTCCAGGTGAGCTGGACATCTGCAAAAATTTCTGTGTGTTCCCTTAGAAACAAGCAGAGTAAAAAACAAACTTCCATGTTATTACAGAATCTACATTGTGCCCAAGAAAGTTAAAGTCTCAAACAATATGAATATTAAGAGTCCTATTAAGTCAGCAGCCAGGTACATCATTTAGATGTACCCAAGAAGTTTCATGCACAAGCCTTAAGAAGGCTAACATTTGAGTTTTGGCTTTGAACCAAATCATCAAATTTGGGTTCAAATCTTGAAGAAGTTAGTAGAAAGAAAATATTTAAACAGAAGTTAACATAAACCACGTACCACTGTTTTTCAGAATGGAAGCTTGGGCAAATACACGTAGCACTAAACTTCAAGTTGTTTCCTTTAATATTTACAAAACTGGTTTTATTCTTAGTTTTTCAGAAAAATGGTTTTAAGTATTAGCACCTACATTGTAAATGACTCAAACTTTGATTTACACTTGAAATAAAGCCACAACGCGATTAGTTACGTGAACCTATATTCTTTCATTTCTGAGTATTTTAGTAGAGCACCAAGAGGGAAAGAGCAACATGTGAATAACCAGGAAGCTGTTCTCAGCTGTGAGACAAAGGCCCAGGCACCTTCCTGGGACAGGATTCAAAAGGTCAGAGTTTTCCAGCACACTCCAAATCAGCTCAGTTTTAGTTATTTATAAGGTGGAAATTTCTATCCAAGTTTATAAAACCCATCCAGCTACATGTTAGTTTATTAAACCACAGTTGACCTGAGATGCAATTAGAATTTTGACATTTTTCCATACTTAGTTCACAAGTTTATTATGAAAAACACTGCAGCTCTGTCCTGCAGTAACATTGTTTTACAGAAAAAAACAATTCTGTTCAATGTAATTCACTATCCTTGGACAATTACAAGGGACAATATGGTAGGGCAGAGTGGAAAAGGGAACTGAGTGCAGACAAAAAAAAAAAAAAATCAATACAATTAAATTAAACAGTATTCCCTGAAAATAAAACAAACGAACAGTTTCAGAACAAATATGAGGCCTTGGTACTTATTTTAAAAATGTTCTTTAAGCTTCAATGATTGTTTGCTGCTACCCTTATCTACAGTCATGCGGAATAAAGCTATAGCTAAATGGAAAGTTTAATGTATTCACGAGGTGTTAATGTCTACATCTTATTATTTGCAGTCTCTCAGAGAAAGCAAAAGTAACTACAAATAGCGCTATGCCAGAAACTGGTTTCTTGACCAACAATGTTGCTTCAGCATGCAATGAACTGGTTCATTCTAAAGTGGTCACAGTTGTTGATGACAAGAGGCTTTGTATTGAATATGGCACGTCTTTTGGTCCATGTGAAAACAAAGTTTGAATGTTAAATATTTTCTGACACTTTGGAGTTACTGTTGCTCTTCCCATTTTCTTTAGGTCAACATATGGTTCATGGCAATACTGTACAGGTCTAAAATCTCTTTACAGGAAGTAGTCTGGGGTGCGACGAGTAACATGCGGTTCACCTCTACGTGGTGCTGGGTCAAACTGCAAACTGAAGAGCACAGACATCAATGAAAACAGGAGCTCGGCTTACACTCAGGTATGTTCTAGCCATGAATTACAGGAGCAGTGGTTTAACACAGGTGAGTCTTTGCAAGTTTTATCAACCAAATTAAATATTCTAGAACAGGTGTTCCAGCGCTTCCACTTCTATCAGTATGCACTTTTAACCATCACATTTTAAATATTCCTCTTACCATGAAGGTCTGGAGAGAAATTAATTTTAGCTTTAAGACAAACTGCCAAACATTAGTATCTATTAGAAAGTTAAAGTCTCCAGTTATTATCAAAGAGGGCAGGTTGCACAGTGCTTTTGCCTCATTTACTAGTAAAGTTGCTGCTGCAGTAGTTAATTAGAAATCTCATTCAAAAAGCTGATATCCCAACAGCTGAAGAATTCAAAGATTCCAAGTCTCCTGCCTGAGACCAACAGGAAGGCATTACCTTAGATGTGACAGACTACTCCTGCTCTCAAATCACATCCCTACACACAGTAAGTCATTAAAATCCAGGTGGCCATACAAAACAAAAATGAGGAGTCTAACTTTAATCTGACAGAGAAGATCTCAACAGCAGCTGTTCAGAGGCTTGACTTCAAGACTTTAAATGTGACTAACCCAACAATTCCACACTCACTCCACCTCCTAAAAGCTTAGAGAGGGGAAAAAACCCCATACTTGAACACAACTAAGTGGTATCTTAAAATCACAGGCAATGTAATTCTCATTTTTAAACATACTTACAAGGAGTATTTTAGAGTATCATCGAGTTCCATAATTGCAGCCTGGTTGCCACAACGGTAACAATAGTTTGGAGCACTGAAAATTGTTACTACATTCCGATCATGGCACCAGTTGTACCCCTGGAGAGGAAGGAAAAAATAATTATGACAATCAAGTTAATGTACCCTATGTAACAGCCCGATTACAAACCCACCTTTTACTTCTCCATTTTTTAATTCTCCATGCAAGATTTCTCCATTGCATTAGCATTAAATAGTTAAAACGGCAATTCTGAAGTACACACAGTACAACTACTCTGAACTTTCAACTGTGATCACCAAAACCAGTGTCCAGACATACATTTAAAAATCTGAATTGCCAGGAATAACTAAAGATCAAGAAAAAAAGCACACATCCAAGCTAAAAAGAAAAATTACACATTTTTTTCCCATGGGACACATATTTAAAAACCTTTTTATCTACACAGAAATGCAATACCACATCTAGTACCAAAGCCTGATTTGGGATATTACTGCAAGTTTTCAGGAAAATAAGGCAAAAATAAAGGTTATTCCACTGTCAAACTCATTTAGTAGCACATGAATACTGTCAAGGTCAAGTTTCTGGAAGACTCTCAGCTGGATCATCACCTGTCAGCAGCATATGCACATCTCTGACACACAGAGCGTGGAATAAATGGACCAAGAACACAATCCAAAGTTTAAACACACAGGCTGTCCTGCTCACCTCCATTACCAACTGATGAGCTCTTGAAACCAACGTAAGGCCATTAGCATGGTTAAAGGTTTCTGAAATATCCTGTCCGAATGTGTAACCTGCACCTCGAGGAGAAATTCCCCAGCCACCACGATCATCTGGATCTGACCATAGCAAGTCACACATTGGACCCTGTAAGATGTAAATGATGTTTCAGAGGTGAAGTGCAAAGACCCAAAACCAAACAAAACCCAAAAAACTTGGACTCTCACTACCCCTGCACAGCTCTTTGAGACTTAATATGTTTCTTTCTTTAAGCAAGGGCATGCCCCTCATTTTTCCTTTAAAAAATCCAGAACAGGAAGACAGGCACTTTAATATTGCCAAGCTGATTTGAATTCAATTTTCAGCCTGTGAGCTTAACCCCCCAATACATGCTGAATCATCAATCTCATTGGCTTATAAAATTATTTTTCAGTACCTCATGGGGAACTTCCTGCAAGCGATCGAGTGCTCTGATGTGATCCAGTGTATCTATAGATGGAGAGAGACCACCATGTAGACAGAAAATCTGCAAGAGTTAAGAAACATGAAGTTTACTTGCATTAATCAGTGCAGTTAGAACAGTTTAGAATAAGTGATTTTGAGAAAATCTGTATGAGATTCCTTTAAAGATGAGAGCTGACAGAATGCAGTGTTAAGAGCTCCCTTTACAATCAAAAGCATTCAACTTTGTCAAATGTCAACATACCTGGCCATCCACCAACGCAGTTAGAGGCAGGTAATCAAAAAGGTCTGTAAAATATTTCCAAACATTTGCATTTCCGTATTTCCTTAAACATTCATCATAGAAACCATAAACTTGTGTGATTTGCCTGCTTTCATGGTTCCCTCGAAGAATTGTGATACGTTCACGGTAACGGACCTAAACAGAACAGTTTATTTTAGCACATCAATGAGCAACTCTTCCCCAGAACAGAATTTGCACTCCTCAATCCCTGCCACAGATCAATAAAGCAATTAAAACCAAACCATTCTGAAGATTCAATTATAACTTTTGAGGTGAAAAAAATGAATAATTTATTCAAATCTTCAACTCCCAATTACTTTTGGGATTAATTACAAGTTGTATTTATTATTCTAGTGGACTTCACTACACCTGTGCATTAAGGTGATTTCTCCAAGCAAATTCTTTAAGATTGCTATTTAGGCAAGTAAAAAATCACTCATTTTTGATAAAGCTTAGGCTTACACCTGAACATTTTTATAGTAATTTTTTTTAAGAAGTGATTTAGAAAACCAAGACAACCAAGAAGTCAGTTTCAGTACATCTAATATCAATTCAGTGAAAATCATTATATACAGTGAGTGTAGTCAGGACAGTAATGATAAATTTTATACATAACTGTAAAGCCGAGAAGAAAAGTTACCTTAAGAGCTACAAGCAATGTGACTGTTTCAACTGAATAATATCCTCTGTCAACATAGTCCCCCATAAACAAATAATTTGTGTCTGGTGATTTGCCTCCAATTCTGAAAAGTTCCATGAGGTCGTGAAATTGTCCATGGACATCTCCACAGACTGTGACTGGACATCGCACTTCTTGTACGTTGGATTCTTTTGTCAAAATTTCTTTAGCCTATAAAACAAAAAAGCACATAAATTGTGAGTTTGTCTATGAAGAGCCATTTTATTCAAAGCATGCTCTACCACTTCCAATTCTGCTACCTGCTCTCTTTAGGAGCTCTTCTCTGAAGCACTTGAGGTAAAAGCTTATCTTTACTTAAATGCCATTTATCTTTAAACAGTTTATGAACACTTTCACTTTATGAAACCCCATATTAGTAATTAGTAGTTGTGTGGCTTTTTTTCCTCTTTGAGGATGGTATCTTAAGTAAAACTTCAGCCTTTCTACAAAAATGGTTCTGTGAAGCATAGAACAATGATCATCACTGCTGCAACTTAAAAAGTTTTTAAGTATTTTGAAAAATTAAATCTAAAAATCCTGCCAACATCTTACCTCCAAAAGCCCAAATAAAACACAGTCAAAACACTACCAACACCTTGGCATTCACTTGTACAAACATCTTCGACACACCTGCAAAGGCAGGGAGTCCTGCATAAAGCAGAATGAGAATAAACATCCACTGGTACCAGCAAGTACAGAGCAGATCATTACCTGCCCAAGTTTTCTCAACAACTTCTGTGATTAAACACAGACTAGTAACATCAAGTTGTATCTTCATAAACAAAAGATGGGCAAGATCTTCTCACCACCATTTTTTCCCAAAAAAAATGTGTATATAAAAGTTACAAAGGTAACTTGTCTGAAGAAGCATAGGCTAAATATGGCACCAGAAAGGTAACTTTGAAATAATGCAACACAGTTGTTACAGTTTGTTCTGAGAACAGTCACCAGACACATGCCACAATGATTTGCTAAATCAAGAAGGTATTAGAAATATAAATAGTAACAAGTTTACTAGTTACCATCTACCAAGATTTTCGTGTTTTTCAAGAGTCAATGCTCCTATTCAAAAAGGATCCTTTTTTACCTCATTACCTCAATTACACAAGAATATATAAAAACTATATTCTATTCTATTCTATAACCCAAGTTATCTAAAAGACAGTGGCTGACACTCCCACCCAAAAGTGGTGTCACTGTCCCACACATCATCCTGGCTGACCACCAGGGTCACCACTTTAAACAGAAGCAACACCTAAGTTTAATGATGAAGATTCATGAAATTTAATGTTTCACTGCAAAGAAATGCAAAAGTACAGAAGGGCTAAGCACCCTGCACAACACAAAGCTTTAGGTGTCACTCTGCAGATATATTTACATCTCAAGTCAGTTTCACATGGGAGTTTCCACTTGCGCTGTGCCCAGTACTAAAGATAGGTCATTCCTGGCTTGTGGTCAATGCTAAAAGTGCAGATTTATTTTAAGATAGCCTGACTTGAGTTAATTTTAATGCAGTGACAGTCACCGGATGTTTTGAAGGTGTTTTAACAGCCTTAGCATCTTCTAATACTCTCTTACATTCAGAAGCATTAGCCAGCTTAGTTCTTCTTTTGAAAGAGAATGTCACAGATGCTTACAGCACTTCGACATTAAAAAAAACCCTACTCTTTAATGAGAAAGTTTCTACCACTGGATTTTCTTAATACACTTGAAGCACTGCACTCAGTGCAGCATTCATTTTTCATCAAAGGTATGCAGCCTTTGTGCTGAGAATGGTAGAGTTCTCAGCAACTGAGTTGTTGCTTCCTCAGTTTCTGAAATATTAAATCATTCAGATATGCACATGACCAAACATGTAGAGAAGTCAGACAGCTACTCTGATGGGAAAAGACTGTTCCAGGTCAACCTGCAAAACAGCAACCTCTGTTTAAATCCTGAAGTGGAGGAATGCTGGTGCACAGATGCCAACATTTCCATGTTCTAAAACCAGTTTCACGCAACACTGTTACGAACTGTTTAGTTCATTTACAGTCTTATGTCCCACAGTATTAAAAGTGGCACATAAACACTCTACATGGTTCGATAAAAGAGCTTCAGCAGACCTGAAGGTAGAAAAAATAACATCCTGAAAACAAGCCACCAACAAGTAGTCTACTGTATCTCAACTTTTACAATAAATGAATTCCTATAAAAAGTCACTTTTTTATAAAGAAAAGACAAACACTAATCACCAATCCTACTCCTGCAGTATGTGTGCCCCTGACCTTGTAGTGGATCACACACAGCCCTGTGCCCTGGTACCACTCCCTCTTTTTATTGATTCTTGATGGTGCTGCTTACTCACCAGGTCACACAACTCTCTCCCCCTAAGCATCCTCCCCTCCAACAAATGGACTGCCCACCAGCAGCTCTACTACACTTCCTCATGGAAGGGAAAGCAGTAGAGCACTCTTCAGCAGAAGGCAGAAAACTCCTTGATCCAACCATCTGACAAAGGAGAACTAGGAAAGACACACACACACCACCCCCTGAACTTCAAACACCCCAGGACCTATTGCCACAAAGGATAATACTGCAACACTGCAGTATTTTGACATCAACATTTTGAAACATCCAGGCTTCACTGCCTATCATCAGGACAAACAATAAAATTCAGAAACAGATTTTCTTGAGCACCTATTAATTATTTTTTATCTCTGCCTTTTTTCAGTTCTTAACAATTCTTATTATTAGACAGCCCTGAACTTCTCTACACCTCCAACATGTAATTATTTTTTTTACACAGTACAATACCACAAATGAAACTTCCATGGCATAGAGTACTTAAGCAAATATTTCTTATCAACAACCTACTCTGTTACAGTTGTAAAACTCTACCTCTGAATCAGTTTAATTACTTTTTCAGCATTACATTCTCAGACTTCAACATAAAGTGTAAACACATACAGAATAAGACTGCAAAGAACACGTTACTTCAAGTTGATAAATGCTAATTTTACAGCCAATTACAAATTAAGTCTAAGACAGAAAAAACACAGCTGTGAGACAGTTACACAAGAAGAGTATAAGAAGAACCAAGTGTAATGCTATCATAAACACTACTGCTGAGGTGGAAGGTCACATATTTTACTCAGAACAATCTCAAACAATAAGCACATATCAAATACATTTCAGCTTAGTCATAGTGACTGGAATTCATTCTGACTTGATACTGGGTTACTCAGTCATTTCACTGTAAAGAGAAAACTTCTGCAATCCCAAAATTCAACCAGAATAAAACCAGTATTGGTTTAAATACACAAGAAAACAACCAGTTTTCACTTTACTATAAAAAGAGTAGCACTGCATAAAAACACAACCTAATAACTGAGAATTAAACCATTCCTGGCCTGCTGCACATCATCTAAAGGCCCAGCTGAACAATACCAAGCTGCTTTGGTGGCTCTGTTTGCAAAGAACATCTCTGCAAAATGCTATTCCTAAAACACAAAGATCAGCTTTGTTGTTTTAAGACAGTACAGAATCCAACAGTATGAACTGCCATGGATAAGAATTTTGAAAAGATGACTGTTAAAGTCACTACCATATGACTTTCAGATCCTCAGTTTATTTAATTAGATGCACGGGTTTTATGCATGCAGATGTATCTCTTATTTCCCCTGCTCCCTCCAAATATTTTTATCCTATATGCCACAAACTAAGGCTCAGAGTTGAGTGCCATAAAAGCTGTAATCCATCCATTTTACTTCCTCAACTCACTCTGTGCTGAGGATAACCAAGTTTTCCCTCATGAGCAGTGTACATCATCAACCTTATCTCACATAAATAATTTCCAGTGGTCCATTCCTGCAAAATCCTCTGAATTAATCTGTACCCAAATTCCTCTCTGTTTCCAGGATATACCAGGTGTTTCTTCATTCCTCCGACCCCTTCTTAGGTCCCTACATTCTAGCATGAGCTTTGACAACTCAGCCCTATTATCTACCCTGAAAAACTCTGGGGTGCGTAAAAGTAACAAGACACAAACCTCACTGTGTCTGTGTAGAATTGTAAATCAATGCTTGAAGCAGCACTATGAAGCACTCATCAAAAGATTACTACTACTAACTCAGTAAAGAAAATATAATCATTATTTTAATTAGACAACACAGCCCCAAAGTCATGGTTGCAGATGGTAATATATTATCCTTGGCTGACCAGAATTCACACCTGAAGCCCACCATGCCGTCTAGTTAAGTTTGTAATGAGAAACATCCACTGGAACCAAGAAATAGCTATTTGTAGTTACCATAAAGATATTTTGATGAGATTGAAGGCTTCAACCACACCCATAATTTCCTGTCACCAAGGTGCACAGGATGTGACTAAAGAAACAATGACCAGCTAATTGGGATGAATACTGGTTTTAGCTGTTCAAACATTATGACCTGGAAGAGAGTCCAGTTCCAAGCAAAGTCATCCATTACAGTCAGCAATTCTTCTGCAGAGTCAATGCTTTTCAATTTAAAGGTTTCCCCCACTCTTTACATGGGGAGGAAAGAGAGCAAGTTCAGACAAAAGATGAGGTTATTATTTAAAGCAAAAGGTGTTTTCATTCACTGTCTAACATCTGAAACAAAACTAGATAAATGAAGTCCCCAAAAACACCTTTCTGCGAAGGAGGCAAGGCAGTCAGATTACACGTGACACAAATGGGAAACTGATGTATGCTGAATTTTGCAATCCGCCAAGGAGTTCAGTGTGAATGTAGAAACAGGAACAAAATTAAAATACAAAGCTCCCAAATGAAATTCAATTATTTAGTATTCCAAAGTAAGTAAAACCAGGATTTCCATCCACATAGAAACACTGAGCAGCAAAATACTCTTGCCAGGACAAAAGACGATGGATGCATCTGCTTTCTCTCTGGATTTGTGAGTAGCACCTACACCTTCATTTCTAATCTCTTCTCTTCAGTGAGAAGAGAGACCAGTTTAAATACAAGATCTTAGCCAACCAAAAGAGCAACCCCAATGCCAGGACTGCTGTAAGATTAAAATACGACAATCACTTTCCTTTATCGCCTGTAAATTCTAGAAGGTCTACAAGAAAACATGCAAGGCTAAAACTTCTGTTAAATAACACTCTCTTCTTTTGTATTACAAAAGTAAGGACTGACACCATTTGAAACT